TTCGATGAGGGGTGTTTGCACGGTACATTCACTAAGAAACTACAGTCGGTGGGTCCATATGAGTTCGGTGTTGGAATTGGTCGATCGAAGGCGCGTCTATACAATACACTCCTTCCCTGCCAAATCGAGAACTATCCTGATGGAACTATCCTATCGTGATGCTTCACTACATACTAAAAATGCATCGTGATGACACCGTCCATGACCTGCATGAAAGAAACTCGTGCGATGTGAAAGCCGAACGACTGTATCGACGCAACTCTTTCGATCAATACTCATCCACTCGTTATCAAGATAGCATGCGATACCGCGGCATAATCTCGAAATATTGCTCAGTTGAATAAACCTCATTGGCTGGGCGATTGGCCATCTACACAGCATCACAGTTGGCTTAATTCTCATAGTGAGCTACGCGAGTAACAAGCTTGCCTCCGATTGCATCCACCCTGATGTTTGGTCGGTGTCACACATGTCAAGCTTGAAAAGAACACATTGAGCTGCCAAGGATACATCAGACGTTCTAGGATATCCAACCTCGGCATTTGAACTCACTATCAACAGAATTGTCAGCATATCAGCAATCGGAAAGACCCTGGAGGATCATCATGAGTTCATGCGACTAGCATGATGCTAGTGCGTAAGCGGGTACACCCACCGCTGTCATTCTGGCGCGGCTTGCCCGCCTTCGCTCGTCAGTCTCGAAACCGCTCAGATATCTCTGATGCACTCCAGACAGGTTTCGTATTTGGGTATAGCGTCCATGATCTCGTGATGTTGGGGCGCAGCGTATCCTTCAACGCAACTCGGGCAGATAAACACCTATACACTCGTTATCAAGACATCCTGCAGTGGCCAGGATTATATTAAAATGCGCTCACCGGACATTACAAAGCTTCATTAACCTAAATCGGCTACACAATCGGGCTGAGAGTAGTCTCGGAATCGGTCGTCTCCACAGTAGTAGCAACAACGTCATCGGTCATAGCAGCTGTGCTGACCGGGAGAGGGGACGTTATAGTAGTAGTAGGCACAACAGAAACACTGATCGTAGTAGTGATAGTCGCAGTCTCAGTAGCGACCTGGGTGGTAGCATCAGAATCATCCTTGTCTCTACCGGGAGCTTCCCCAGCTGCCGTGCTGATGGTCACTTCGCCAGTGACAGGAGCTGCAGTAGTGACAGCAACCTCATCGGTCACAGCAGCTGTACTGGGCGCTACTGTGGTATCGACAGTAGCTTCAGAACCAGTCGTACTCGTTGCTTCGGGAGCAGCTGTGGTACCTCCTTCGCTTGTAGTAGCCTCAGTAATCTCATCCGTGACTGCAGCAGAGGATGTCGAACCTCGGAGAGCTTCAGTCGGTTCACTCGTGCCGCAGAAGCATGATGCATCCGAGCCAAAGCAGGTGCTCGGCGTCTTCCAATACTTACAATACGACCCAGGGTAAGTCGTGGAACACTCTGTGTCGCAGTCAGCGGCGTTGCCCGTCACGAATTTGATGTCCTGGAAGCACAGAGAGCTACTAGTACAGCGGAGACAGATCTTGAAGCTGTCATAGACAAATGCAAATGAGCGACGGGAAGCTGAGACTAACTTGATGACTA